CGCACTCAGTACGTTCCTTCTTCTGAGAGCTAACCCCCCTCATGAAGCTCCCTATTGAAGATATTCCCCTTCTGAGTAACGTTATTCACTGACCTCCCTCTTCTGAGAGATATCACCCCTGTCAGTAACTCTGTTCACTGAGCTCCCTCTTCTGAGAGATATCCCCCCTCTCCCTACCCTCCCTTAACTGAGCTCCCACTTCTGGGAATATACCATCTATCAGAACCCCCTATCACTGAGCTCCCTTTCCTGAGAGATTTTACCTTTGTCACTACCCTTTCCTTCAATGAGCTCCCTCTTCTGAGAGATCTCCCCCTACTCCCTACCCTCCCTTTTCTGAGATATACACCCCTCTTAGTAACCCCCTTTCCCTGAGCTTCCTCTCCTGAGATACCACCCCCCATCAGTAACCCCCTTCACTGAGCTCTCTTTCCTGAAAGCTATCCCCCTGTGAGTACCCTCCCTTCACTGATCTCCCTCTTCTGAGAGATATACCCCCTTCTCCCTAACCTCTTTTCACTGAGCTGCTGCTTCTGAGAGATAACCCCCTGTCACTACCCCCTTCATTAAACTCCTTCTGAGAGACATCCCCGGGTTAGTACCCCCTTCACTGAGCTCCGTCTTCTGATAGATACCCTGCACGTTACTACCCCCCTTCACTGGACTTCCTCTTTTGAGAGATATCCCTCCTGTCCATACCCTCCCTTCACTGTTTCAGATACTTGTTATATATAAGAAATTCTTATATATATAAATTAAAATTCTTATATATAAGAAATTATAGACTTTGAGGGATATTCCCCTCTATCACTACCTCTTCTTCACTGAACTCCCTCTACTGAGATATCCATCTCTGTACCCCCCTTCAGTGAGCTCCTTCATTTGAGAGGTATTACCTTGTTATCCCCTTGTTATTACCCCCTTCCCTGAGCTCCCTCTTCTGAGAGGTATCACTCTGTCAGGAGCCCTGCTTCACTGAGTTCCCTCTTGTGAGAGATTTTCCCTTTGTCACTACCTTCCCCTTCACTATCTCCCGCTTCTGAGAGATATTCCCCTGTCACTATACCCCCTTCACTGAGGTCCCTCTTCTGAGTGATAGCCCCCATGTCAGTAACTTCCTTCAGTGAGCTCCCTCTTCTGAGACACTCCCCTGTCAGTAACCCCCTTCACTGAGCTCCCTTTCCTGAATGATACCCCCCCTCTCCATGCCATCCGTTCACTGAGCTCCTTCCTCTGGGAGATCTCTGCCTGTACTACCCCCCTTTCCCTTACCTCCCTCTTTTGAGAGAGATCCTCCCGGTCAGTACACACACTCCTTATGCTCCTACTTCTGAGAGCCAAACCCCCTCTCTGTAGCCCTTGTCACTGGCTCCCTGCTAGAGATATTCCCACTCTGAGTTATCCCCTTCACTGAGCTCCCTCTTCTGAGAGTTATCCCTCCTCTCCCTACCCTCCTTTCACTGAGCCCCCACCTCTGAGGGTTACTCCCCTTGTCAGTAGCCTCCCTTCATGAGCTCCCTCTTCTGAGAGATCTCCCCTCTCAGTACCCCGTTCCACTGAGCTCCCTCATTTGAGAGGTGGTCCCTGCCCCCCACCTGCTCTGCCCTGGCTCTCAGCTGGCTTTCCCCCTCCATGCTCACCCTGAGGGCAGGCCCCTTCACACACAGCCCATCTTCTTGCCCCTGAATCTGTGACCTCCAGCCAATATTCACCCTTTCTAGTCTACATTTTAACATTGAGCTGGTTTTGTTAGCGCTCTTGCTAGCAAGTCGTACCTCTCTATGCCCCAGTATTCTAAGTGCGTGATACTGCTGAGTGGGTGACTTTTTTTTTTCACGTGGTAGCAGAAACTCAATACCGTTTCATACCTTATGTTTGCTGGGCACCGTTCTAGAAGCTGGTGAGAACGTAGTGAGACTAAAAGAGACATCAGTCAGTCCTGGTCCCACGGAGAGGCTAGTTTGATTAAGGAGACAGGCATTAATGGACCAATTTTAACTACTCACTGAAATTGTTCTCTGAGTAAATGGTACAAAGATCAGACTCCGACTGGCCATCCGGGGCAGCCTTGGGGTGAAAGTGGCCTTTGGGCTAAGACCTGGGCTACAGAGGAGGCATGACAATGGACACAGCGTGTGAGGTTGGGAGGGTGGGGGGGCGAGCTGGAGCACTCCCTACTGTGCTCCAGATGCAGGGAACAGCATAGACAGGCCCCTCGTGCTAGAGGAGGTCTGGCACTGAAGCCCCAAGTGCCATGAGTGTTGGCAGAGGGTAGACTCCGTGGTAACTAGCAGTGAGCTGGGGGAGAGAGAAGCAGGGGTCAGGATCCCTGTTTATCCTTGCAGGAAGTGGAAACTCAGAGTGGGTAATTGAAGAAAAAAGTGTTTTCAGCATCTCTTAAGAGAATCACTGAATCTGATGGAAGAAATGAAAATGGAATTGTCTTTTAGTGGAGGTGGGTCTGGTTACATTCCAGATGCGTTCCCCACTTGGGGCTAATTGTGTAACCAGCAGTGAATGGCAGGTGTATGCAAATCGGCTTCTCAGTCTGTCCTTCGCTGCTTAACATTTCAATTTCAGACGTGCTTTATTTTTAAACGTAGTCAGTTTTCAATCTATTGTGACTTCATAGCTTTAAATTCCTCCCTAATCTTCTTTCTTCTAAGCTGTAAGTGAGTCCCAAGTGAGCACTTCAGTGTGTTATGAAAGAACCTGTCCTCGCTCAGGATGCTGGAACTAAGTACAGACAGTGAATTCAATAACAATTTCTTACCGTTGTGGAGTCTGGGAAGTCCAGGATCAAGGCGCCCCAGATTCAGTTTCTGGTGGAAGCTCTCTTCTGGGCTTAAGGAAGGCTGCCTTCTCACCGTGCCCTCACTTGGCAGAGAGAAAGGAGAGAGAGAGACACACACACACACACACAGACAGCTTCCGCTCTGGTTTCTATTTTCTTATAAAGGCACTAATCCCATCATGGGGACCCCACCCAACCAGATTACCTCTCCAAGCTCTACTTCTCCAAATACCATCATGTTTAGTCCATAGCAGAACCTTGCTGTGAACTCGTTTTGGAAAGCAAAACTATATACGTTAAGTAGATGACCCTTAAATTCACGTGCAAGGATGTTAGAATTTGTATAGATATTTTTGTAGATAAAAAGTCCTTGAGCATGGGAACTGTGCCTTGTTCATCTGTGCATCTGGAGTACCTAGATCAGTCCGAGTGTGCTCCATAAATGTTGTTTTTCCATAATAAAAAGATAAAATAGGTCTTAAAATTTTAGAAAAATATGGCGGGTCAGAATAGGTTTCTAAACTTTGCCAGGGGTTTGAAATATTTTTCCCTTGACTCCTAAAATATTTCGCTTTAACATAATTGTTCCAATGTAGCTCTAATCACATAGGAGAGGTTATGGCAAAATGCAAGAGCAAAGTATACAGATGTGCAGGCTGAAATCTATGCCTGTTGCGAACCCTAGTTTACACCTGTTGAGCTAGTGTGTCTGTCTGTAGAATTTTTTCATTCTCTGTGTTCTGGTTTAGACAATAAATGAGTTGCTCACTTACCTGGGGCTGGTTCGATTCCGGGAGCCCCTCATGCCCACTTTTACTTTCCATGGTTTCAGTCATGGTCATTTGCTCTCCAGAGACTAATGATCCTCCTTCTGATGTATTTGGTCAGAAGGTCAGTCATAGCCCCACGCTACTAATTTAATCATCTCCCATCAACACAAGAAGGGTGAGTACAGTACCACTATACTGGATTTTGAGAGAAGAGACCACATTTTCATAGTATGTGATTATAATTGTTCTATTTCATTATTAGTTATTAATCTCGTACTGTGCCTAATTCATAAACTCTACCATAGGTAGGTACATGTAGGGCAAACATAGTATACAGTATACAGAGGGTTCAGCACTATCCACAGTTTGAGACATCCACTTGGGGGTTTTGAAACCTGTCCTCCAGCTCAGTGGGGGGAAAGTATACCCTTACCTTGTATACTTGTCTTGTTTCCCATCCCCCCGAAGTAAGATATGGGGGCTTTGCCTTTTTGTAGATCCTTGTTTAAGCTTTGTACACCCTAAGCAGTAAATGCTTATTGAGAGAATGAGTGAAGATGTGTTCCCTTCTGTTAGAAGTCTTGACTATTCTGTAGACATTTTGGGGGAAATTTAGGGAATAAGTAAATTATCAGATTCCGGGGGCGCCTGGGTGGCTCAGTGGGTTAAAGTAAATTATCGGATTCCAATGTGTCTGACCTTATGATCACAGAAGCTGAAGAATGACACATGAATCCATTGTTGGTCTTTTCCCCTCCTTTTAACATTACTTTTCCCTTGCTTTTCAAATAGCATTGGAGAAAGCCTAAGTCAGTCTTTCCAAAAGGATCTAGAACAATTGTACAAATGCAAGCTGTTTCTAATCAATTACATTTACAGATACGCCCAGTATGGTCTACTTTGTGCTCAGCATGCTGAACACATTTACGCAATAAAAGTCCCACAGACTCAAAAGCAACACTTGTTTCTTATTAGTTTGGATGAAAGCGATTTTCAGAGTTATGGAGTAAGCTTTGAAAATCTGGATTCTTCTGGCTCCTAACACACACAAGAAGAACCCCTTATGCTTGAGTACATCAGCTAAAGTGTAAGCTGTGTTTTTGTCTAGGGAACAGAATATAGGGTTTGCATTTTCCTGTATCCTCATATATTTTGAGTATTAGGGGATTCTGACTGTCTGTTGTGGGATTAATGTTCTTCGTCTGCTTCTGGCAGCAGGACAGTACTATGTGTCTGTCTGCAGACAGGCTGATGAGTTTGCTGTACCCAGTTCTGTGGCTTTGGCCCTTCTGTGGCTTGCTCACCTGCTGGAGGTTTCCGCGGTGTGGACTGAAGCCGGTCACTTGCTGGACTGCAGATGGTGTGATCACACCTATGCGACATTTCCCGTTTGTATCCTTGTGTGCAATTTAATTTTTGTGTATGTTTTATTCTAGGTCCATGTATTTTTATTTACACATCATAAGTCTCCTGATAATACTCTTTCTGCCAATCAAACCACACGCTCATATCCAGAGGCAGCCTCAGACTCCGAACTCCGTTAATAAGAAAAAAAAAGACTGATCCCTCCAAGGAAGCCGAGCAAGTAAAACTGCAAAATGTCACAAAGAGGAGATCAAAGACTCAAGGGTTCGCCAGGGACTTGGAAGTGATGTTTACATGCACTTTTTTTTTTAAGTGCAGGGAGTATTTTATAAAGCCTTTTATATGATTAAGTCAGCCATGTCCAGTTGATTTAATATTTCCGAGGACATTTGATTGGTGTGGAGACTGTGCTGGCTTTGTAGACAGAGACTAGCCATTCTGGGCTGCTGGGTCTTTGCTTTTCTGGCATGATTTCCCATCCCTGGAACCCGGACATCTGCTCCAGAAGGCAGAAGGTGGTTGCCAACAGAACTTGTCTTCCAGAACATACCCAGCCAGACACAGTTGTTCCTCGGGAAGCTGCAGACCCTTTGAGCACAGTGACTACACAGAAGACCGTGGAGGAGAGGATCCTGCAAGAGGAGCCAGGAGGACTTGTTGTGAACACTTCAATGGACTGAAAGGCATGCCCTGAAGTAGGCTGCATTTTTTTTTTTTCATCGCAGGGATAGAATGCTTCTCTTTTTCCTTTGAACTGAGCCAAGATTGGAAATCAGAAAGTCTCCTGTGCACGTACCCCAGGAGTCTAGGAAGGGCTACTATTTTCCATTTCACATGTGCCCTCTGCCTTGCCCAGGGATGGCCTTGAGAAACACCCAAATGTTTGCACCACCAAAGGCAGCAAAATGTCTTTTAAATAAGTAATTAAAAAAAAAAAGTAATTTAAAATTATATAGAAGCTTGGTAAGAAGCAACAGACATTTTTCTCTTTGCTCCCCTCATTTCATAGAGGTGTGAATGATCATGGCTGTGATGACACGTGGGCTGGTTTTCACTTTTCTGATTTTGCAGCTAATGAAATTGGACTGTTTTAGTTGAATCTGAAGATCATTTTTATCTTTGTTATGAATGTGCTGTGGTTTCTTTCAGGGACTCCTCTTGGGTAGTAATTCTATGTGGGAGAAAGAAACATGGTATTAAGTGTGCAAAACAATAATGGTGATGCTGATAATTACATGTTGCAATGGTGTGCCCTCAAATAGATGCCTTGGGAGAAGAGAACCTGTTCAAATCAGATGGTCAAAAATTGGTTGCATACTGAATGAATACTGTGTTTCTATATAAAGGAAATGTTTCCGAACAGAAAGGCTATTTTTTGTTTCTGGGAGTGGAGACCACACATTCTGAAGCATGTGTGTATATTTGTGTGTTTCAACAAATATGCACAAACTTAAGGTTTTACTTGTTCAAATTTGAGCGCTTATAACATGATCATTTTGTCCTCCATGTCAGGCACTTGGACGGTTTGGGTTTTTGGTTTGATTTCCTATCTTCATTCCCAACTTTGCAGGTAGGCTTAAACCCCTTTTTACAGACGAGGAAATGGAGAATCAGAGGGACGTTTGCTTACTGTCCCCACGGTCACAAAGTTAGTGATGAAGCAGAGATTAAAATCCAGGCAGTCCCCAGAGAGCTGCTGGCAGTTGGCATTTCCAAGAGGTATCCTTCTGCTTCTTCTCATAGTACAATGACATGTGAAGTGATGGCTTGTTTTTGAAGAGGTTGATGGTGCTGGGGGAGAATATTAGAACCTGAACTCTAGGCCTTATATAAAATAATGGATAAAAAGCAGCACATTTTGGCCAGTGTTTGAGGCTCACCCCAATTTACCCAGGTAACCTTGAGGCAATCCTACCTCTTGGTCCACAAAGGATGTTATAGGGGAGGGGATATAGATGCTTAAAATCTGTCTGGATCCTTTTCCAACAGGAACATTTTGAGGCTCAAGACCCAGAAAAATGCATACTAGTAAAAATGGTATATAGTACCACAGGCACAAAGTGTATTGTTATAGTGAAATCTTTGAACTTGCAATATGGTTTATCTTCAGGTTTCACTGTATTTAAACATTTTCATTTCTAAGAGAAGAATTTTGGTAGCAAGAGGAGGTAATCTCTAGAGTGACCAACCATCTTGTCATGCTAATGACTCTGCTGACCCTTCAGTCCTGGGCACACATGGACCATTGGTCCCTCTAGTGTCTGCTAAGATTACTTATTTATTACTGAATGGAATCAAAGTCAAGACTTTGGAATCTGGGCTTATAGGTGTTATAGGTCAGACAGTGCTGGGCCCTTCGGCACATTTTTCTTATTGAGGGGCTTTATTCAGTGCAGACCTGTTTCCTTTTATGCACATCACTTTCTTGTGCTTTGCAGATACTGCATTTTTTAGAAATTGAGGATTCATGGCAACCAGATGTCAAGCAAGTCTATTGGTACCATTTTCCCAACACCACTGCTTATGTCTATCACATTGTTGGTAATTCTCACAATATTTCAGACTTTTTAATTATTTTATATTTGTTCTATCTAGTGATCTGTGATGTTACTGTTACAACTATTTTAGGGTGCCATGAAGCACACCCAACTAAGACAAGGAGCTTACCTGAGAAATGTGTGTGTTCTGACTGCTCCACCAACCAACTGTTCTCCACCTCTCTACCCCTCCTCAGGCTGGGGTCCCTGTTCCCTGAGACACAACAACACTGCAACTAGGCCCATTAATAACCCAACAAGGGCCTCCAAGGGTTCAAGTCAAAGGAATAATCACACATCTATCACTAAGTAAAAGCAAGAAATAATTAAGCTCAGTGAGGAAGGCATGCTGAAAGCTGAGAGAGGCTGGAAGTAGGCCTCTTGCACCAAATAGCCAGCTGGTGAATGCAAAGGACAAGTTCTTGAAGGAAATGAAAAGCGCTATTCTCGTGAACATATGGGTGATAAGAAAGCAAAAGTCTTATTGCTGATATGGAGACAGTTTTAGTGGTCTGGAAAAATGAAACCATCCCTAACTCTGCAACTCTCTGAAGGCTGAGAGAAGTGAGGAGGCTGCAGAAGGAAAGTTTGAAGCCAACAGAGGTGGGTTCATGAAGGTTAAGGAAAGAAGCCTCCTCCATAAAAGAAAAGTGAAGCAGCAGATGCCGATGGAGAAGTTGCAGGAAGTTCTCCAGATCGAGCTGAGAGAGTTAAGGAAGCTCCACTCAACAGCCGATTTTCAATGTAGATGAACAGCCTTCAGTTGGAAGAAGATGCCGTCTAGGACTTTCACAGCTACAGAGAAGTCAGTTCCTGACGTCAAAGTTTCAAAGCACAGGTTGAAACTCTTGTTAGGGTCTAATACAACTGCTGACTAAGTTGAATCCAATGCCTATTCACCTTCCTGGGACTCCGTGGGCCCTTAAGAATGATGTTAAATCTACTCTGCCTTTTCTCCATAAATGGAACAATGAAGCCTAGATGACAGCACATTTTTACAACATGGTGTCCTGAATATTTGATGCCCACTGTTGAGACCAATACTCAGGAAAAAAGATTCTTCAAAACATTACTGCTCATTGACAATGTACCTGGTCACTCAAGAGCTGGACAATGAGATGAATGTTGTCTTCAGGCCTGCTGACAAAGCATCCATTCTGCAGCCTATGGCTCGGGGCTGGGTGAGGGGTGAGGGTGAGGGTCATTTAGACTTTTAAGTCTTATTAAGTAATAACATTTCATAATGTCTAGCTATTATAGTTAGTGGATTCTTGTGATGGATCTGGGCAAAGTAAATTGAAAACATCTGGAGTTCTGGTCCAAGATGGTGACATAGGGAGACCCTGAGCCAACTTCCTCCCTGGATACACCAGACTTACACCTCTTGATAGAGCAATTCCTCCTGAAGTACTGAGGGGTGACTGAACAACTTCTGTACAGCAAAAGATAAGACCACATAGATGGTGTTGGCAAAAGAGGTGGAGACATGATAATGAAGGGAATCCTCCTTCCTTAATGTTCCTTAAGGAAACTGCAGAGGGGAAGAATGGTATTGAGGGACCTTAAGCAGAGTCATTCGCCATGGGTGAGGAAAAAAGCTATGGTTTAAAAGACCACCTAGAATATAAAGGAACTGGCCCTAGAACATGCCAAATAACTGAGGATTGCTGCAACTTCCTCAGGGTTGCACTGGCTGGTGAGTACCATGGTCTGCATTCTCCTTCCTTCTTGACAGCACAGATGGGAACAGGGTTCTGGCATGATAGCTGGCCTGCCACCTCAGGAAGCCCTGGGCCCCGAGTCCATACCAGCCCCGGATTCTCTGGGGCGCAGGTAAAAGCCATGGCTTGAAGGATCGATTTGGAATGTAAAGGAGCTAACCTTAGAATACTGCCAAATCGTAGGGGAGCTGATGGAGCCTTTAGGTCACAGAGGCTGATGAGCACCATGGTTAATGTTCTTTTGCCACCATGATAGCATTGGTAGGATTAGGGTTCTGGGCCCACTCTGGAGGCTATAGCCTCAGTGAGCCCCAGCACCTAGCCCACACTGGCTTCAGCTATCCCACTAAGATGGGCCCAGCATGGCACATACCATGACACCCCTGGTTGACACTCACTATAGACAGCCAGCCTTCTCACCAAGGTGGTACAGGCACAAAGCACCCCAGAATAATCCAGGCCTATCTGAAAGAAAAAACCTACAACCAAGAATACTCTACCTGGCAAGATTATCCTTCAGAATTGAAGGAGAGATAGAATTTCTGACACAAAAATTAAAAACGTTCATCACCACTAAACTGGCCTATAAGAAATGTTAAACGTACTTCTTTGAATGGAAAGTAAAAGGTCATAATTAGAAGAAAATTATAAATAAAAAGATGCAAAGTGGGACAACATATGTATAGGATGTGGAAAGGGGAATAAAAAAATTCTTTTAGATAGTGTTCAAACTTAAGTGACTATCAACTTAATAGAGTTTTTTATATATATGTACATATATAAAACTGTCTATATTAAGTTGATAGTCACTTAAGTTTAAACACCATCTAAAAGAACTTTTTTATTTTATATGTACATATATGTGTGTGTGTGTGTGTGTGTATGGATGTTACATGTGGACCACATGCTAACCACAAACCCAAAACCTATAATATACATGCAAAAAAAATAGAGAAGTAAGAGTGTAACACTACAGAGAGTCATCAATCATAAGAAAAGAGAGCGAGAGAGACACATAGCAAGACTACCCAAGAGGGGAAAAAAAAATGACCAGGAAACAATGAATAAAATGGCAGTAAGTACATACCCATCAATAATTACTTTATATGTAAATGGTGGAAAGGTCAGAGATGTTCTTCAGCAGAAGAATGGATAAAGAAGATGTGGTTCATATATACAATGGAATATTACCAACCATCAGAACTTGCATCGACATGGATGGAACTGGAAGGGATTACGCTGAGTGAAGTAAGTCAAGCTGAGAAAGACAATTATAGGGTATCACTCATATGTGGAACACAAGGAATAGCACGGAGGACCACAGGGGAAGGAAGGGAAAACTGAATGGGAAGAAATTGGGGAGATAAACCATGAGAGACTCTGGTCTCCAGGAAACAAACTGAGGGTTACAGAAGGGAGAGGAGTAGGGAGAAAGGGTAACTGTGTGATGGGTATTAAGGAGGGCATGTGTTGTGATGAGCACTGGGTGTTAAAGAAATTAATAAAAAATAAAGGTCCAAAGGGGGAAAAAAATGTAAATGTTCCACTTAATAAACATAGGGTAGTTAAATGGATTAAAAAAGAAAGACCCATCCATATGCTGCCTACCAGAGTCTCATTTCAGATAAAGACACATACAGACTGAAAGTAAAGGACTGAAAAAAAAAATTCCATGCAAATGGGAAAAAAAAAACCAAACCAATGTAGCAATTCTTATATCAGAAAAAATGGACTATAAAACAAAGACTATAATGAGGGACCATGAAGGACATTACAGAATGATAAAGGGATCAATCCAAAAAGAGGATATAACAATTGTGAATATCTGTGCACCCAACATTGGAACGCCTAAATACATAAAGCAAATATTAATAGACATAAAGGGAGAAACTGACAGTAAGATATTTTAACACCTCATTTACATCAATGGATAGATCATCCAAGCAGAAAATAAAAAGGAAATGGTATCTTTGAATGAAACATTAGACCACATGGACTTAACAGAACATGTACAGAACATTCCATACAAAACCAAGAGAATACATGTTCAAGTTCATATGCAAT